AAAGAAAATATATTCCAAAACAATTTAGAAAAAGAAGTGGCAGACCTTGGATTAGAAAATATAAAGCACCAAAAGATAAGAGTAGTTGTAAATGTTATTCATGTGGAGAAGCTGGATATATTAGACCTAAATGTCCAAAATTAGGTAAACAATCAAAAGAAAAAGTACATTTGATAGAGTTGTTTAAATTAGAAGAAGATGAGGATATTCAGTCAATATACAGTTTAGATGATTTAAGTGATAATGAGAGTATTTATAGTATAGAGAGTATTAACATGATAGATTTAGACTCGGAAGATTCAAGTAGCACAAATAATGATCTAGAAGAGTATATGTGTGCATTCATATAAGAACAACATAAAGAAAAATATAAATACATTAATTTAGGTTGATCAGAAAAATGTCATTAGTGTAGTAAATTAGTTGCAAACAAATACTATAATACATATTCAATATTATGTGAAAAGTGTTATAGTAATAGGTTATTAGAAGTTAATTCAGCAGAATCACAAAAAAAATACTGAAATATTAGGAAATATTGTTCATAGTATAGAAAAACCAAAAAATAGTTCTTTAATTACCATAAATTGTGAAATAGAATTAGCAACATATTCAATATTATGTGAAAAGTGTTATAGTAATAGGTTATTAGAAGTTAATTCAGTAGAATCACAAAAAAATACTGAAATATTAGGAAATATTGTTCATAGTATAGAAAAACCAAAAAATAGTTCTTTAATTACCATAAATTGTGAAATAGAATTAGCAAAAGAATATAAGATACAAACAACAGTTATGATAGATACAGGGAGTACAAAGAGTATCATAAGAGAAGAGTTAGTACCAGAAAAATATAGACAAAAATTAGCAAAACCAGTGAAAATAACACAATTTGATGAGAGACCAGTTTACTTAACAAATTGTATAACTAATGAGTTTATTAAAGTAGAAAAACAATAATTTAATTTACCATTAACATTTGTTTCACCAGTAGGATCATATCCATTCATTTTAGGTTTAAACTTTTTGAAAAGTTAACAAGGTTTTTTATTTATGAACCCTAACATAACGTTTTTCAAAAGAGGCATTATAATAACTGACCAAAGTAATACTGTAGAAGCATACAAAAGCATAAGTATAGAAGAATCTAATGGCCAAGATAGTTATCATTTAGAAAACTCAAAAGAAAATGATGAGCATAATAACGTAAAAGAGTTTGATGAAGACATATTTGAACATGAATACCCGATTTAAGAAGAAGGAACCTGTATAGAAATATTACAGTTAGATAGACCAAAGAGTTTAGAAAAATTGTTACAATTAGCAGAACAAACTAGGATTATAGGAGAAGACCCATAGTAACATTGGAGTAAAAATAAAATACTAGCAAACTTAGATATAATTAACCCAGATTTAACCATTAAGACGACTGATATACCTTGTAGTTTAATATATAAATAAGAGTTTGAGTAGCAAATAAAAGAGTTGTTAAATTTAAAAGTTATTAGACCCTCTAAGTCTAGACATAGATCAACATCATTTATTGTAAGAAAACATTCAGAACTAAAGAGAGGTAAGGATAGAATAGTTTATAATTACAAGAGATTAAATGATAATACATATGAATATAGTTATAAATTACCAAATAAGGATGAGCTTATAAATAAAATTCAAGAGAGTAAATATTTTAGCAAATTTGATTGTAAATCAGGATTTTGGCAAATACGAATAGCAGAAGAATCAATTGAGTGGATAGCTTTTACTTGTCCAGAAGGACATTTTGAGTGGATTGTTATGCCATTTGGACTTAAAAATGCTCCATCGATCTTTCAAAGAAAGATGGATCAAATTTTCAAGAAATATGATAATTTTTGTAGTGTTTATGTAGATGATATTTTAATACATAGTAAAAATAAAAATGAACATAGGAAGCATTTAGAGATAGTATTACAAGAATTTATCAATAATAGAATTGTGATTAGCAAAAATAAAATAACATTAGAAAAACAAGATATAAAATTTTTAGGAATGTATATCAAGTCAGGTACAATACAATTACAAGATCATATAGCTAAAAAGGTGTTAGAATTTCCAGACAAATTAGAAGAAAAGAAACAGTTACAAGCATTTTTAGGATTGCTAAATTATGCAAGAAATTTTATCCCTGATTTAGGAAGGAAAATAACAGTATTACATAGTAAAACTAGCAAAACAGGACAAAAATATTTTAATAGTGAAGATATAAAATTAGTTCAAAATATAAAGGAAGAAATTACTCAACTTAAACCATTAACATTACCATTAGATGATAGTTACAAGATAGTTGAAACAGATGCTTCTTCATTAGGATGGACATGTATAATATACCAGAAAAAGTATAAGGAGTCACCAAAGTCTGATGAACAAGTTTGTAGGTATTCATCAGGAAAGTTTAGTGATGTACAATCAAGATTACCATCAATAGATTTAGAAATTTTAGGGATAATTAATTCACTTGAAGCATTTTCTCTATTTTTACATAATGAAGTATTTACGATTAGAACAGATTGTCAAAACATAGTTTCTCATTAAAATAAGATACATGCTAATAAACAGGCAGCCCGAAGATGGGTTAATTTTGTTGATTCAATTACAGGAAATGGTTTTAAACCAATTTTTGAACATATAAAAGGTAATGACAATATATTAGCCGATATCTTATCAAAATTAATTTGATGAACATGTATGGAATATCGTGGACCATCATCAGCAAATAGTACAAGATCGCAAGGCAGAAGAGCTTCTTTCAATAGCATAATGATGCACCATCAACCTCCAACATTCAGTGGATTTCAAAATAGCATAAGCAGACCATCATCACCACCAGTACCTACTTTCAACTTTAATGGCAATATTGTTGAAGGAATCAGAAATCCAACCCTAAGATATAGGTCAAGAGCACCAGGGCTTTCTGATAGGCAATAGGTTCTCTTAGATAATTTTTGGAATATCCAAATCAAGCAGCCAAGCATGAGGTTAGGTCATGAAAAATTAATTAGAGTCTTGGAACAAGAGTTTGATAGTTTTAATTTTAATTTCCATCAAAGCCAGCATCATATTCATTCTCTTGAGCACAACCTTCAAGTCATCTCTAGAGAACACGAGTCTTTACTCAGTAAGTTTACCAAAATGAACCAAGAACTCCAGGCTCTTAGAATGCAGTAGAAGGCAAGTGACACACCGAAAAGAGAATTGAAGATATGTTTAGAAATTGATCAGCATAAGAATAAAGGACAAGAGGTTATTGAACCCATAGAACAAGAGGTTAATGAGCCCATAGAAGAGATTAAGATTGAGCTCTTAGAAGAAGACATTGAAATGTAGCAGCATCAAAATAATGAGCAGCATCAGCATCTGAGTGACAAAGACAAAAAAGAAAAATATGAAAGTTTTCTTAGGAATATACCTTTAGACTTAATATTAGATGATATTTTATTAGAATAAATTTCAAAAGCAAAACTAAGAATAATGCCAACAGATATGCAAAATGAGATCTTGAGTAGAGCATCACAGTCCATGAAAGAGTTACAATTACAATGCGCCTTGTATCAGTCCATCTTTGATCCAAAACCAGGGATGAATATTATTACAAAGATGTATCCTCTATGTCTTTATGATAGTACAGAGAATTGTATTTGTAAACCAGAGGTTAGCGTAGTTGTGGTCAGGATTAACATGAGATATTTTAAATCATGGCATTTTAGTTATGAGCATCAGAAAAAGCATAATGTGGTAAAAGTTACCCCTGCCTTACTATCAGAAAAAGCATAATGTGGTAAAAGTTAACCGTATTTCCCAACTATAATCATTTCCTGAAAAACTTATAAAAGTAGCAGAAGATTATCTGGAAAGGTGGAAAGAAATTTGCATACGTTTTATTAGTAGTCCTCCAGATTGGTATGTACATATGTATAAGGAGAAAGCTAGGCATATAACCATGATTAATGAAGAGTCCTTTAGACTATCTCCTATCTCCTCACATAGGTGGACTCCTTCATACAAAAATATTTTAAAATTTAGGAGGATCCAAATGTATGCCTTAGATGAGTTTGAAGATTTTAGATATGATATGGTATTAGTAGCAGAGGAAGAAGAGATATATATTTACAGCAAGATAAGGATTAGTCATCAGCCTTATTGGAAGTCTCAAAATTTCAAAGAAGAAACAACAGAAATGTACTACAAGGTGAAAGAAGATAGAGAAATAGATGCAGAGCTAGTAGAGGGTGATGAATAGTACTGGAATAATTTGACAGAAGAAGAGCTGCATAACATCGACAACATGATGGAAGTCTGAAGAGCTAGCTGTAAATTAGCATAAGTTTAATAGCATTATGTAAAATAATGTATTCCCAGACAAAAATGTCAACATCATTGTGGACCCCGTTGTAATGACATAAGAGTAAATAAAGAAAAGAACATGATCCATTATGGACTTTTCATACACAAAATGTCTTTTTGATTAAGAATGAATAGTGCCAGGCCCTTTTTGTTAGAACTCCCTATTATATATACTAGTTCAATAGCTAAGATTGTGACAAGTGTCAAAAGATTAGAGAGGTAGTTAGTTTGTAGTCTCCCATGTTTGCTGTATAAATATCCCACTGTAGTTTCTTACATATTAACAAATGAAATGCAGTTGATAAATTCTACTTCTCTCTCTTCTTTATCTCTCTAAGGTCTTGGTTTCTTCCTTGTCAAGAATATTACAGATCTCTTCATGCTTGGTTAACATATAAGATCCACATACCTTATTGATTACTGAAAGTCTTAGGGCCCTATTTTAGTAATATTAGAATTTTATTTTTCCTATTGAATGTTTAAATTTAGAGATTTACAAATTCAACAAGAAAAAAAAAAGCTAAACAAGTTATGCTGAAAGTTTGAATTTAGAGTACAAATTTAATAGGCCAGAATCTCGTTTTATTTCCTTTCTTTTACACTGAATCTTAGTCGCTTTCTTAAGTTGTATCAGGAGTTGTCTCCGTAGATGCATGACTAGTAGTAGTGTATGGAGATTGTTGCCCTTCGTAGCTGAATGGACTTCCAGGCCAGTTGCTATAAGGCGAGGCCTTAACTTCATCTCGAACACCAGCACTTCCATCTCGTTGTTGACTGCTTTTAAAATTATGGGAGCTAAGATCTTTGTCATTGAAAATTTCAAACATGGCTCGAACCCTTCTCCATTTCGAAGCTCTTGAATATTCAGCATGATTTAAGATATGCCAATTATTGTAAAGAAATGAAACTGCAAATATGACTAGAGCAATAATTGAAGCCACCCCGGCGATGAGGAATAGACCCCAAAAGCTTTCAAGCCCAAGACTGTTGTTTGAGAGATTTGGATTATCTTCACAATGGCTTCCTTGACCGAACCACTTGTTTTCAAATTCAATGATCTTCTTTCCTTCGGTCACATTTAGGACTGCCTGTGAAACATCACATAAAAGAGGAGAACGCTTTGGAAACACCTGCAAATTAAGTCATATCAAAGAAGTCATTTTCTTGCCTCATGCTTGTGCTGTTTATATATGTATGAAAGGAGAGAAAGATCTTACAAAGCCAAAGCCACCAGTCTTGAAGATTGGACCAATCATCGTATATTTGGAACAATACTTTGCAACAAAAAGCTTCATGTTGGGGGTTTCATCAATAACAGCAGCAATACCACCCTTTCCACTCCCTTTGGAAAGAGCTTCATCAGACTCTTCCATGGAATTAACAGCCTTAAGCTTTGACTCTTCAAAACCGATTTCTTTCAGGAGTTCGTAAACAAAAGAACCATTCATGTAACCAACATGAACCCCACTTTTTACAAGATCCTTTACCTCAGTGACCGTTGGTTGGAGCTGTTGGACTGTTAATAATGATGCTAAATTAGCTGTGTAACTTTGTGTGAGTACTAGCACAACAAATACCCATATAATCATCAAGAATCTGGCCAAGTTGCTGACAACTTTCTCCCCTGAAAAAAGTATAACAAAATTAAGTGTCAACCTAGGCATAGGTTGAGGGAAGAAATTTTAACAGTCAAAATATTTGGAATTCATAAACTGAAACTAGGAAGTGGCGATGGAGTGTTACTATGTGAAAAGACCATGGTGGAGAAGGAGAACCAGAAGCTTGTGCTAATTTGATGCGAGGGAGGGCCACGGAAATCTTCATTAATTCGATGTTCAAGCACCCAAATGACAAAACCAATGAAGATGAAGAAACAAAGAGTTGTAAGCCACAGGTCCCATGTCAAAGGCTTCAAGAAAACCCATGCGTTTTTACTCCTCGTATCTCTGATTGGCACAGCCATCACTACACCAGATTCTGTGTATGGCATTGTGAAGTCCACAAACAAGGATCTATTCGCTCTAATTGTTATATCTCCCACAACAGCATCAAATTTCTGTCCAGTAAACGATAAATGATCAAATCAGATAACAAATATGAGAACAATGCCAATCAGTTATACTTGAGTTAAAGACAGAATTTTAAATCAAGGAACAGTATATAATGCATGAAATCTTAACTGAAATCAGTTATACCAGCATTTATAATGCCAAGTAAATTTTACCTCGAGGTATACTTGATAGACCAACTTGTCGTAACTGCCAGCGCTGGTTCCATCAGGATTTTCAAAGGGAATGAACTCATAAGGAAAAACGTATGGCAATACACTCAGTACGGCAGTAAAGACATCAATACTGAACCCAATGACTTTCGTTGTGTTAGTGCCATGATTCTTATTTACGTTAACAAATTCTGTATAACCAACCTTCACAGGAACACCAATTCTCAACTTCTTGCCTTTTATTGGGATCTCCCATCCCCTTGGAACATATCGAGAATCTCCTGACCATATAATCGGTCCAAAATTGCACTTCTTCGAAATTGAAAGTGTACTTGTGTTTGTTGAATTCAATGTTTTCACCATTCCACTTTCCGGTGTCCAAAATGCAATTGTTCTTACTCTATCAACATTTACGTTGACTATCTTAAAGGTTGATGATTGAAGTTGCCCATCAACAAGACTAAAGTCTCCAGCTATGCCTTTGAATCTAGTAGTTGATAACACTCGGGCAAGTTTAAGACCATGTTGAGAGACCTTGAAAGTGTCAAGATCTGTTGAGTTGAAGGAATCATTCATCTTTTGGAAACCAAAACTTGTATTCATCCCAACTTCTTCAATAGCCAAGGCTAGTGCAAATGCTGCATCATAAGCCCGAAGTGCAAAAGCATCACAATCAACATCAAGCACATTCATGGTCGGATTGTCTTGCTGGAATTACCTTCTCCACCGCATTTTGAATTTGTTAAGCTCCACTGTTTTTGGAACATCTGTTTCCACACCTAATACACCTTGCATTGCATTTTGGAGGATAGGATTCATTGACCATAAACAATTTCCTACCCCATTCGTTATGATCCAAACATAGCCTTCACTCATCATTCCAATCTCTTTTGCCTTGGAAAATAGTCTAGAGGAGAGATTAGGCATCATGTGCACAATGAAGACTCTCGTTTGCTTAGTCATTAACTTGTGAAGCTCGTTACCAATTTGATCATCAGTGGCTGATGGGGGAATCACAGTACGATAGGGAACCTGAGCATCCACCTCTTGTAGTGCATCAATTAAAGAGGGTATAATTCCCTCCCCGTACATATTGTCTACATAAATTGGCACAACTTGTCTCCATCGATAATATTTGACAAGGTCTCTTATGGCTTTCACTTGGTGAAAGTCGCTTTGTGTAATTCGGAAGAAGTAAGGGCTTTGGAGAGAAGTAAGAGAGAGGCTTGTTGCAGAAAATGATAAAATTGGGACATGAGCTTGGTTTGCAAGATTAACAACGAAGCTCGCCTGCATTGATGTTTCTGGCCCTAGGATTGCTTGCACTTCTACATTTTTAATCAGATCCAGAGCTGTGTTCCATTGGAAAAAAGAAAGTTCAAAATTATGATTGATTAATTTGATAAGATTAAAAGAACTTAGTTTTAATTGATTTTTTTTGCAGATGCTATCTTTATAGAGCGATTTATATTATGAACGGTTCTGATCACAAAAACGATGTTCTATGAATTGCCAACAAACAATTTTGAGTAAGATAATTTTTCATAAGTTGTCAATACTATTCAAACATTTAGTTTTTCATAAGTTGTCACTACTATTCAAACATTTAGTTTTCGTGTCATTTGAATCTCTAGGTAATAGTGCAAGATTTCTTAAATTTTACATAACAACAGATACAACAACAACAACAACAAAGCCTTTTCCCACTAAGTGGGGTCGGCTATATGAATCCTAGAACGCCATTGTGCTCGGTTTTGTGTCATGTCCTCCGTTAGATCCAAGTACTCAAGTCTTTTCTTAGGGTCTCTTCCAAAGTTTTCCTAGGTCTTCCTCTACCCCTTCGGCCCTGAACCTCTGTCCCGTAGTCACATTTTCGAACCGGAGCGTCAGTAGGCCTTCTTTGCACATGTCCAAACCATCGGAATCGATTTTCTCTCATATTTCCTTCAATTTTGGCTACTCCTACTTTACCTTGGATATCCTCATTCCCAATTTTATCCTTTCTCGTGTGCCCATACATCCCACGAAGCATCCTCATCTCCGCTACACCCAATTTGTGTACGTGTTGATGCTTCCCCGCCCAACATTCTGTGCCATACAACATCGCTGGCCTTATTGCCGTCCTATAAAATTTTCCCTTGAGCTTCAGTGGCCTACGACGGTCACACAACACGCCGGATGCACTCTTACACTTCATCCATCCAGCTTGTATTCTATGGTTGAGATCTCCATCTAATTCTCCGTTCTCTTGTAAGATAGATCCTAGGTAGCGAAAACGGTCACTTTTTGTGATCTTCGCTAGATTGCTCCGGTCATTAGTGTGGATAAGTATATAAATGGGTAGAGATAGGAAAGCAAACACAAGATGTACGTGGTTCACCCAGATTGGCTACGTCCACGGAATAGAGGAGTTCTCATTAATTGTGAAGGGTTTACACAAGTACATAGGTTCAAGCTCTCCTTTAGTGAGTACAAGTGAATGATTTAGTACAAATGACATTAGGAAATATTGTGGGAGAATGATCTCATAACCACGAAACTTCTAAGTACCGGAGTGTGGTATCGTCTTGACTTGCCTTATCTGTCTCATAGGTAGATGTGACATCTTCTCTGGAAGTACTATTCCTCCATCCAGGGGTGGTATCTATAACTGGTGGAGATGCACAAGGTAATGTATCAATTTCACTTGAAGCTTACTTGTAGTTTCAGGCTTGGTCAAGCGCGATACAAACCATGTAGTAGGAGTCTCCCAAGTCGCCGAGCTAGGGGATCTGCTAAAAGAGGTGACAGACAAGGTAAGCAATCAGAGCTCCGGCTGATTGTTCACATTCTCCCTATCTTGCAGGCAGCATGAAGGATAAAGAGAAGAAAAATGAGAAGAGATGATATGGGATACTTTTGCTTTTGAAGAAGTAACTTTCCACATGGCTTATTCTTGAACTGGGCTGGAGGGTTTTCTGGTTTCCTCCAGAGTATAAGGCCGACTGAAGAATTTGAGGGTCAAAACAAGTCCATCAAATCTAGAGTACGTTCGACCCTGCTGATATGGGATACTTTTGCTTTTGACAGAGTAGTGGATGTATCGGCACGTGTGCTGTTACGCTTGTCTCCACATGCTTCCTTGTATCCTTCTCACTTGCCCTATCTGTTCCTCAGGCAGATGCGGTATCTTTCCCTGGAAGCATAAGATGTTGAAGATGAGTACTCGAGAGCAATGCCAGGTAAGTAATCAGGTAAGGGGTTCTAGGCAGTCAGTTCCTAGCTGGAAGCTTGATTCCAAGTGCTGACTGATTGCTCTCTTTCTCCTTGTCTTGCAGGTAAGAACAAGGCCAAAGGAAAAGACATGGAAAAAGCATGATATGGGATACTCTTGCTTTTAACCCTGATGATATGAGATATTCTTGCTCTAGTATAGCTTGTTTACAGAGGTATTATCGGGGGGGAAAGAAAGCTGAATATTTCGAAAGGCTTCGTTGGGAGTGCCCTCTCAGATAAGAGGAAGGGTTGAGCATTTTTGCAGGTCTGCCTGTCCGTTGGGGATGGAGGTCGACATATATAGGAGTCTCCCTAACATCAAGTAATAATGCTATTCCTTTACCCTGCTTGGTCATAGCACAGTAGTGGGAGCTGCAAGTTTCACATGTTTTAACTCTGTCAGAGCACTTTGAAAAAGTGGTCTGTGGTATCTGGAAAGCTGATGTTGCGTGTGAAGATTACAGACAAGCTTTATCCAAGGAGATCCAGCTCTTGAAGTTGGGAAAGTGGTGCCTCTTCGGTTTTCGAACAAGCAATCCTGTCGGGGATCTGGCTCTCGAGATTCGGAGAACGATGCCTCTTCAATTTTTGAGAAAGCAATCCTGCTGGGGGTCTGGCTCTCGAGATTCGGAGAGCGGTGTTTCTTCGATTTTTGAGAAAGTAATCATGTTGGGAGTCCGGCTCTCGAGATTCGGAGGGCGGTGCCTCTTCGATTTTGGAGCAAGCAATCTTGTTGGGAGTGTTTTCTCGAATGTGAGTAAAGGTTGGGCATGTTTGCTAGTCTACCTTGCCACGAAGCACAGAGGTTGATACACAGGGACTTTCTAATTATCCAGCAGTGGTACTGTTCCTTTACCCTCTCTACGATTTTTGAGAAAGTAATCATGTTGGGAGTCTGGCTCTCGAGATTCGGAGGGCGGTGCCTCTTCGATTTTGGAGCAAGCAATCTTGTTGGGAGTGCTTTCTCGAATGTGAGTAAAGGTTGGGCATGTTTGCTAGTCTACCTTGCCACGAAGCACAGAGGTTGACACACAGGGACTTTCCAATTATCCAGCAGTGGTACTGTTCCTTTACCCTCTCTTCGATTTTTGAGAAAGTAATCATGTTGGGAGTCTGGCTCTCGAGATTCGGAGGGCGGTGCCTCTTCGATTTTGGAGCAAGCAATCTTGTTGGGAGTGTTTTCTCGAATGTGAGTAAAGGTTGGGCATGTTTGCTAGTCTACCTTGCCACGAAGCACATATGTTGACACATCGGGACTTTCCAATTATCCAGTAGTGGTACTGTTCCTTTACCCTTATGGGTAATAATATGGTAGCTAGACCTTCAAAATTTATGTGTCTAAACTTTGTTAGTGTTGTTTCTTTGCTATTCTTTTACCCTTCTTGGTCAGAGCGATGTAGTGGGAGCTGCAAGCTTCACGTGTCTCAACTTTGTCAGAGAACTTTGGCAAAGTTATCTGTGGTACCCATGAGCTACTGTTGCGTGTGGGAAGTGGGTGATTGAACAGTACGATTCATGTGCTTTCTACTTCGCCAGAAATCTTCGACAGAATGCCCATAATTTCCGCAAAGCTGAGTGTGCGTGTGACAAGGCTGGAAAAGTAGGTGCCTCTTCGATTTCTGAGATTGGCCCTCGTGGTCTCTGAGCAGCCCAGCTTTTGAGAAAGCAAGCCTCTTCGATTTCTGAGATCGGCCTTCGTGGTCTTTGAGTAGCCCAGCTTTTGAGAAAGCAAACGCCTTTTTGATTTCTGCGATCGACCCTCGTGGTCTCTGAGCAGCCCAGCTTTTGAGAAAGCAAACGCCTCTTCGATTTCTGAGCAGGCGCCTTTTCGATTTCTGAAGCTTCATCGAGTGCAGATTTTTATAGGGGCTGACATTAAGTTCCAAAGCACACTTGAATATCCACCAGTAGAAGCTCCATTCTTGCACTTCTAAGATCTTGATTTGTCCGACCTCTTCTCTCTTCAACACCTTTGAAAATGTTTGGCCCCTCCGACCGTCGTTTTGACTTTAACCTTGTTGAAGAGGCAGCCCCGCCTTCTCCAGACAACATATGGCACCTATCCTTCGTCTCCCCTACTGGTTCTCTTACCGTTGGGGATTCCGTGATGAAGAATGATATGACCGCTGCGGTAGTGGCCAGGAACCTTCTCACTCCCAAAGATAATAGACTACTTTCCAAACGGTCTGATGAGTTGGCTGTTAAGGATTCTCTGGCTCTCAGTGTTCAGTGTGCAGGTTCTGTGTCTAATATGGCCCAACGCCTATTTGCTCGAACCCGCCAAGTTGAATCATTGGCGGCTGAAGTGATGAGTCTCAAACAGGAGATTAGAGGGCTCAAGCATGAGAATAAACAGTTGCACCGGCTCGCACATGACTATGCTACAAACATGAAGAGGAAGCTTGACCAGATGAAGGAATCTGATGGTCAGGTTTTAC